TGGTATTGACTATTTAGATACCTATGCATTGATAGTAAGAATTACTACGATAGGATGCTTATAGCATTGGCTTCCATATATAAACTTGAAATTTACCAAATGGATGTTAAAACTGCATTTCTAAATGGTGAATTCGATTAAGAAGTTTATATGAAACAACTATAAGGATCTATACTATTAGGATAAGAAAAAAAGTTTGCAAATTGATTAAGTCATTATATGGACTTAAACAAGCTCATAAGTAATGGCATCAAAAGTTTAACAATGTTGAACTAGCTAATAGATTCAAGATTAACAAATTTGACAAATGTGTTTATAGTAAGTTTGAAAAGGAAAAATGTGTCATCATATGCTTATATGTGGATGACATGCTAATTTTTGGTATAGACTTAGAACAAGCTGAAAGTACTAACAAATTTTTGTCTAGCAATTTTGCTATAAAAGACATATGTAGTGCAAATGTGATTTTCGGGATCAAGATAATTAGAGAAAAATCTAATATAACATTGTCACAATCACATTGTATTGAGAAAATTCTTAAGAAGTTTGATCATTATGATAGTGCAACAGTCTTAACACCATTTACCAATTGGATGGTAATCATAAATATATTACCAATTGGGTTTTTTCTAAACGGAGTATGGATACTTCATTTTATCAGTTAAACCAAGCCAATCATAATCATTCTAATTGAAAATATTAATCTAGATGCACCCTCATGAAATGGATCTCTAATTGCACTTCCTAATTTGAAGTTAACTCCAAATAAAGGGATGATTGTTACACAACTTGAATATGCAAAGGTTATAGGTTATGTAATGTATACAATGATCACATTAGACTGAATATAGCCTATGCAATTAGTAAGCTTAATAGATATGCATGCAAGCTAAGTAATTTGCATTGAAAAGCTACTATAAGAGTCTTTAATACTTAAAGAAAACCATGGATTATGGCATTCATTATTGTGGTGAGCCTTCAATTTTAGAAAGATACATTGATGTAAGTTAGGTAACCAATATAGAATATCATTCATCTACAAGTGGATGGATTTTAATGATTAGTAGGGATGTTGATTCTTAGGGTTCTAAGAAACAAACTTGCATAGTTGATTCTATTTATGGCTTCCAAATTTGTAGCATTAGCTTCAGCATGCAAGAAAGTATAATGGTTAAGGAATTTATTATTAGAAATTCCATTATAGTGAAAACGAATGCCACAAAAATCTATCCATTGTGGTAGTCAAGCTACCTTGCAAAAACATACAGTCATGTGTTTAAGGCATAGCTATGTTAGATAACTGATAAAAAATGGGGTGATCACCATTGATTTGTCAACTCAAGTAGAAATTTAGTTGATGTAATGACAAAAGGTCTTACAAGAGATACGGAGTCTAAAACTTGCATAGGGATGGGATTAAAGTCCATAAGTTAAGTCATACATGATGAAACCTCAACTCAAAGTTTAATTACATAGAGTCTTGGGTTTTAATGAGTAAAGTACATAATTTGTTTGTGATGCCAAGTATTTTAAAATATAAACCATCACAATTAGATAAGTACCAGAACCATATGTGTTAAGGTTAATAATTAACTCTTAATGAATCCATAACTTGATAATTTAATATTGGAATGCTTATATGGTGGCATTCTTGATGGAGTTCATCTATATGAGTAGAAGTGGCACCATTTCTAAGGGCATGGACTTGACTCTAAAAGTACTTATGAATATACATGACACACGACCACTAAAATTGTGTTAAAGCAAGGCTAAATGACGTTTTGGTAGGATTTGAAATTTTGTGTGTGGTATTAGTACATGACTAGTCATATAGATTGGTTGGTTCAAATATCTAAGATCTATCATTTAATCTAACAAACCCAACAACATTTTATTACTAAAGTAAATATTATTGAACAATGTTATATGATATCTATATTTATGCATAAGATTTTCGAAAGTACCAGAATTTATCTTTATTTTGAAACTAGGTAAGAGAATGTTAGACAATATTTTCAAAACATAAAAATATGATTAAGAAATTGACTTAATCAAACGAAAACATAATTAAGCTATAAGATGTCTTAAAGTAAAGTCCTAAAGGTTAAAGATATGATTCTAAACTTAAAAGAATCATACAAAAAGACTATACAAGAAAATGGTTGACTACAATACTTAGAACAGTCGGCTGCCATACTTAAAGTAGTTAGCTGCTTTAAACTTCTAGGATGAGCAGTCAATTTTCAAAGACATGGAATCGATTGCTTTGTCAAACAAAAGCTAAACTTATATTCTATATAAATAGCAGTCAACTGCTAGTTTAGAGCAACTGATTACTATATTATGAAAGTTAGTGGAATTGATTCCAAACCCTAATGGAATCAACTATCATTTGATGATAGTCTTCTAAGAATTGATCTATGTTATAAGTAGTCAACTGCTGTTGAGAGGAATTGGTTGCCCTATAAGAGGCTAAATGTGGAACCTTTTTGGAAATTGAAAGGAATCGATTGCTTTATGAAGCAGTTGATTACTTATGTGTAGAATGCATTCTATATGATGAAAATGAGTTGAGTGATCTATATAGAAGTCAACTACCCTACTATGAAAGCATTTTGGAAATTAGAAATACACAGAGGCAGTCAACTACCTTTTTAGAGCAATCAATTACTATACATAAAAAGTTATAATTTCCAAAAACGTGAAAAATGATTTCTTTGTGTGAAAAATTTAATTATTCAAATGAACAAATATATCTGTAATCTTTCAAAGAGATATATTTTATAATAAAAAAGGTGATCTTTAATTGAAACAATAAAATAAAACGGTCACAACTTTAGGATTCAATCTCCATAAATAGAGATTGATGTGAGTTTATTTGATATCAAATTCAATTTTGAATTACCCTATTCTTTCTCCAATCCTTTCTCATTTAAAGCAAGTTGCTTTTAACATTTTTTTGCTGCAAAAAAGCTTGAAAAAGACATGGTATTTTCATTCCTACCGATGAATGTTTAGTGATTTTTTATACTAATATAAAGTATAAACAAATAACGCTTCATTGTATTTTGGAATTGTTTTGGTTCACTCTTTTTACATACTATAATTAGTTGGGATGAAATAAGTTTAAAGGAAAGTAGTAGTTACAGCACACCTTAAAATCATTTTGTTTGTGTTTGAAGGTTCATAATTGCTTAACTCTAACTATTCAACAAAATGGTTACAAAAAATTCACTAGTTGTCAAGACACTCCAGAATCAACAAGTTGTTTTTTATAGCCATGTATTTCATTATTTTGCCGACATATAAATTGGTAAATTTGACAAAAGATGGCATACACAGATGCTTGCGAAAATCATGCAGTTAAACGAAAGATAAGATGATGTCACTGTAGTTGTTAAATTTGGAATTGAATTGGGTTTCACTTGAAAATAATGGGTCTTTAACCTCCACAGTTATCAGATAATTTTCAAGTGGCAGTCAAATGAAAGAATCCAAAAGTTCGGCATTTTTTGGTGAACTTCGGGTCGTATAGCAACTGAGTTGAACGGCTCTACAATGCCCAATCTTTGAACTAAAACAATTCACGTCACCTTTGCAAACCTAATTAATAATAACTAAAATTCGACACATCAATCAAAGAACTATATTTTAAAAATAAATAATATGTAAAAAAATTGAATACTTTTTATTAAGGGTTAATTTTTTTATCGTTTATTTTTAAATGAATTGACATGATATAAGAGCTAACACTTAAAAGTTATGAATTTGAAAAATTTTAATTACATGATCTCTTATTTAGTCATGTAAATATAAAAATAAAAATTCAAAAATAAATTTAAAATTAAAAAAAAAAAGTAATTACTTCTAGATTTATTCCTTACCTATTTCATGATGTGATTTTAACCATCCAAATATTTTAATATTATTATTCCTCTATTTCTTTTTACAAATCAAATTATATAATATTTATTCGTATTCTATTCTATTGCCACGTAAAAGTCGTTCCATTTTCTCTAGAGGTAGCCTTCGCACTTTTAATATCATTTTAACGATTTAATTATTATAATGATAAAATTATTAAGATTAATACAATATTATAAATTATGTGTAATCTTATATCACTGTATTTGATGTTGCATTAAAAAAAAAATCATTGTCCTATAGAAAATTATAAGGTATAAAATCAGTTTTGATGAATATAAGTTGAAGTTATTTACATGTTCATATTTAAGGTTCACATAAGTTATCTTATATAAAATTAAAAAGTGAAAATTTTGCTTATAAAACACTAAAAACGATCGAAATTTTCTTCAATGATAAAACTTTTTTATTTCTTTGGATAAAATTCAGATTATCCCACACGACAATATACCATTACATACCAAATGAACCTCTTGCGTAATCCAAATTTTTTATGGAAAAAGGGAAGTGCATTTCCGTTGATTACAAGAAAATGAGAAAGTTTATTTAGAAACTATAGGAAAATAGAAATAATCAATATACAGACAAACGAATGTTCCCTTTTAGCAAAGAAAAAATATATACAAAAAAGGAGATTCGTCCATCCAAACCTCAAACTCATCCAAATATTAAATCTGTCTACATAAAATTTTATAAGTAAAGTTCGTAAATTTTTTTATTAAAATAAGTAAATAAAAATTAAAATTTAAGATTAAAATTGATATATTAAAATATTTTATTATATAGATTAAAAGAGTAGATTTTAAAAAATATATAAAAATTTTGATATATTTATTAAATAAGTTTTTTTTATAAAAATATTAATAAAATTTTATCATTGAATAAATATTAATCAAATTTAAATTATAAATAATTTTTTTAATAATTTTTTTATATATTATTAATTATCACATTAATTTTTAATAATTTATCAATTTTAATTTTTTATTAAAATTTTTATTTACTCATTTTTAATAAAAAATTTGGACAAATTTTATCTAAAAATTTTATATAAATTTTGTCTTGATTTCCAATTCCCGTCCTCCAAACCCATTAAACGGTGACCGGGTCGGATGGTTTATCTAATCTGGCGAACCTTTATCCACAATTCCATCTGGAGTGAAAAACACCGTCCAATGACACCTGTATGGACCAAGAAGCACATTGGTTCACGCGCAGCACTAGCCAGAAGAGGTATTTATTTTCCACCAAACTTTCCCTTCCCTGCCCTCCGACGCCTCCCCTTCTCTATCTTTTCCTTCCTCGCTCTCTCTCTCTGTCTCTCTCTCTCTCTCTCTATATATATATATCCCCATCCACGTTTGGATACAGATTTGGAGGGAGACAGAGGCTGTGAAATTTTGTTGAAAGCGTTGTCAATACAGAAGAAGGGAGATGGAGGGCAAAAACAACAGTAATTTCAGAGGAAAGGAGGACATGGGTACGGTTGCAGTTCATAGCCAAGTGAGAAAAATAAAGCAGGAATCGGAGCAAATCATCGACCGGTCACATGGACTGCCTGAGATGAGACCTGTTTTAAGAGAGATTTCTAGACAGCAGCTTTCTCGGTCTCCTTTGGGGTTAAATGGCAGACCAATCTCTGTTGGTCCCTGGAGAGAGCCTTATGAATCAGTTTGATTAAAATCTTTTCAAAAAGAATAAAGTACTGTTCAAACAGCTCATGGAAGAATTAGTCTCCTGTTTTCACATAGAATTTCATCACTCTTTCTTCCTCTCTCTCCCCCTCCCTCTTTGCACATCTTTGTATATATATATATGGGTATAGTTTAATTTCAGTAGGTTTATTGAAAATCTGGCTGCCTGGTCAAGGATCTCATTGGTTCTCTATCCCATGCTAGCTCAGTTTTGATGGATTTTTATGCCGTTACGTTTTGTTTCATTGCTTGTTTTGTTGAATCTCTGAATATAACAGAAATCAGGAAAGAAATATATATCGGTATAATCATTACATGTATCAGCAAGATATAATTATTACATGTTCCCAATCTGCCCACTCCGCTTCTCTTCCCAATAACTAAATTTCACGTTATGGTTCAAGTTAAAATCTTTTCATTTCTATAAATTAAGTGTTTTTCTTGCTTATAGAAACGTCAATTGCTGCTGCAGTTTTCAGCTGTGTGGAAATGTTTTGATTTGGTGATTTGTCTTCATCTGCACAATTTAGAAATGCAACTTGTCCGATCCAAATTTAATCTAACATTAACCAACCGAACCTGCTCAAGTCAAATCGAAACACTTTGAATCTAAATTAACACGAATTATAAAAGGATTTAAATCCACAACCTAAAAAACTGATTGGAAATTAAATTGAATAGATTTTAAAACTCCAAAGTTTGGAATCCAACTCTAATGAATTTTATTTGTTAAAATATTTTAAAAAATCTTTAAAACTTATTATTTTATTTAAATATATTTTTATATTTTTATTGTATTCAAATAAGTTTTTATTTTATTTATTTATCTTTAGATATGTTTTTTATTTCAAAGAAAAAATTAATTTATGTGAAAAGCTTATTTAGATATAAATTAAAAACTAAAAATTTATTTGGAAATAAATTAAAATTTAAAAGTTTATTTGAGTACAAAATAAAGAATGTGAATTTATTTGAGTTTAATAAAAATATAAAAATTTATTTAAATAAAATGGTGGAGTGTAGGAAATTTTTAGTATTTTAGCCAAAATAATTTGACCTCTAGATGATAACAGAACGATAAAAACATTAAAATGGCTCAAATTTTCTCTGATCTAAAATAATTGCAATCGAATTTACTTAAACCAAACTCGATGTGAAACGACTTAACCCATACAATCCTGACGTGAACCACATAATTGCCATATGTAAATTCAGGTACTGTTTTCCTTTTTACAAGTTGTTAGCAGCTTTTGCAATATGTTTTGTTTTCCTTATCGAGTATAAATTTGGCAAGGAGACTCAATCTTTTTAAACAGCGTATTATTGTCCAGCCCACCACTGGCAGCAATCTCTTGATAAAATTAAAACTGGAAAATGCTTACCAATCATATCTTTTTTTTTCCCTAATTTTAAGTACATGACCAAATTAAGTGTTTTAATTTATTATAATTGATATGATAATTTCAGACATAATACGATGATATAACATTAAAACAATACAAAAAAATTATATATGTGCTTTAAAAAAATATATTTCTTGTTTCTTCGTATTAACATGAATTTTGATACTATAAAATTCGTATTTTATATATGTTGACACGTCTAAACATGTTATATAATACAAATAATACATTTAATTTAATTTTTTTATACAAATAGACGTTTAATATGTTTAATACGTTTAATATATTTAACACGTTTAACATATTTTTTATATTTAATTTAATTTAATATAAACATATAAAGATTACTTTAATTTTTAATCTTTTAATTATGATACTTAATTAGCTATTTAATATCATATAAAAACTATTTTAAACATTTAATTATGATACTCATTTAATAATTATTATAAAATTATTTTTTCATATTAATAATATAAATATAATATAAATATTAATATTAGTGTTATACATTATTATTTTATTCTTTAATCTTTAATAATTTATCATTTTAAATTTGATACTAAAAATTAATACAGTTATGAAATATTAAATATATATTAAAAGAATATTATTATTTTTTTTAATATGCAAATATTTTTTTATATTATTAATATGCCAAGTTTATTAAGTTGTAAATGATGGATAATTTATAGTTGTTTATTATTTTAGTCATATTTTTGTATATATTTGTATTAGTCATGTTTATTCGTATTGTGTTTAAATGGATTAATTATACATGTGTTAATCGTGTCGTATCGTATGTAATACGTATAATAAACATGTGGTGTGCATGTTTAGAATTTAAACATATTTTATAATTAGTGTTGTATCCATGTTTTAATAATTCATGTCAATACACATGTGAAATACGATACGAGACATGACACAGAAATATGAATTACTAGATCTACTTATAATTGCTGTGGGAAGTATCATAATGTATAGATCTGTAGATTTACCGTTAGATATAGATTTTAGGAGTCGTCACCAATCTTTTTTATTTAAGTGCGATTGGTCACCTAATCGAATCTATCCCATTTTAAAGATGAGTCACAAAATTAATTTAGGTATTTTTAAATAGTAGATTCTAGTTTATGAAACTAGATTTTAGGTTCGAGATTATGGTTACGAGTGAGAAATATAGCATCCTCACAACACCCATCCAAAGGATGATACCAATTTGATTTCAAATTATCCAAGTCTTAACCATATTTATGATTTATCAAAATATTTAATATTGAAAATTGATCTTAAAATTACTCCAATAGTTTGGTAGCAATTAAGATAATTCTCTCACCTCAAAAGTATTCATGAAAACTAATGTGCCACTCTTAAGAGGCTTGTCGTCTTGTTTATTAATATATTTTATTCACAAAAATAAATAGTAAAATCCTCTAATAATTTTAGTAAGATTTACTTTGGGATGCATATCCCCTAATAGTTTGGTGAGATTTTTTTATAAATTTATTTTTAGAAATCGCATTAAATCCTTCTATAGCTTGGTAAGATTTAATTTAAGATACAAATCCTCTAATAGTTTAATAAGATATAATTTGATATACAAATCCTCCAATAATTTGGTAAGATCAAAATATGATATAATAATAATAATTTTTTTTATAAAAGAAATTAATTTATGAAATTCTCTAATAGTTTGGTAGAATCCATAAAAATTTAAGTTCCTAAAAAATCCTCCAATAATTTGGTAATGTTGAAATTTTTATTTTCTAAAACATTTTTTTTCTTTTTTAAATTTGAAAGGAAAGAAAATCAATTAAAAAAATCATCATCCAAATAATACCATGTAATAATAATATATTATATCATGCAATAATAGTATTCATGCAATTAAATATGTTAATAATCATGCAATCAAATTAAACATAATCTCATCATGCAATAAATATAAAATTATAAAAAAAACATATATTCTAATTAATATTAAAAAAATTTTAATTAATTCATCTACAATTAAAATAAATACATAATAAACAAAAAAACAAAATAAATAAGTAAAAAATGAAACAAAAAATAAAAAAATTGGAAAATAAAAATGAGAAATGAGAAATGAAAAGAAAAAGAAAAAAAAAAAGCCAAACCTTACCATCGGGTTGAGTCTTAATCAGGTTCATGTATGGATCCACGCACATTAGGACGCAGGTTAGGTTGTGTAAAATGGTGTCGTATTGCCTTTGTATAAAAGGAAAAAATCTATTTTTCTTTCAGTTGCCTCAGTCCCCTCTCTCTCTAGGTTGGTTTCTCTCTAGCTTCTCTCTAGATGACAGATGAACACTAGCCAGCTTTTCTAGATTCCAATGCCAAAATCCTCAAATAGTAGCCAAAATCTTCAAACATTCCTTGAAACCTTGTATGAACCTAGAAAATGGCCATGGACTCCAAAACCTAACTATTGCCAAAACCTCTCCTATTGCTGTCCTTCATCAAAAAATTCAAATATTCAAATGATAAAAACCTAGAAACACTTAGATTAACTAGATTTCCACAATTTCTAGAAATTCCACTTAATTTGAAAAAAAAAAACAAAAATTATAAGTTCCTTAGAAACCAAAATCTCATATTTAGAAACAAACAAAATCCATAAAAAAAAAAAAACCATAATCAAAACCAAACCCAATTCCCATAACTTCCTAAGTCTAGAAAAATTTTTTTACACCCAAATTGATTCATCCCTCCCCTTTTCACTTTCTATTTTTCTAGTTTCTCCTTGTATTATTGAGTTATATAGGGTTTAACTCCCTTTAATTCTAAAAGAAATAACTCGACTGAATCCCTAAATTTATGGTTTGATTTATGACTATCCATAATTATTCAATCTATTATTGACTTCACATAATTTCCATGATTAGATTTTACCCAATTTGATGTCCAGGATAGATTCTCAAAGAAGATTTGATTTTGTTTCCAATTCAATGCAAACACGATTTCTGGACAAATTCTTGACTTTGTTCTTCCCCAATTTTTGTTTTTTAATGAAACTTTTGACCTATTTTTAAATAATAATAAAAAATACATCAAATTAAAGTTAAAATTAAAATTAATATTTTTCTTATCGGGAATGAAACTTCGCAATTAAGCCTAATTTTCAATCAAAACTCTTTTTTTTTCCAAAAAAAATCTCAAACAAAATGGAATATCTACAATTACCCCTCTTTGCACAATTTTTGTGAAATAGGAATTGTGCAAAGTCAAAAGACATCCATTTTGTTTGGGTCCAAATTATTCAACATTTTTTTTTGTTTGAAAGGCTACTCAAAAATGAAAGCACACAACTTATAAATTACATCAAAAAAACTTGAAAATTAAGCTCGGAGGTCTTACAAATCATTCTTAACATTAAAAAATTATATTTTAAAACAAAGACTTCACATTTTTTTTTAAAAGAGGTACCTTTAAGATCATGTCCAAAGGTTTTATAAATCATACCCGGAGGTCTTACAAATCTCAAATCTAAAATAGATTCAGCTTAAAAGACTTATGAATCTTATCTGAAGGACTTAGAGATTACACTCAAAGGTAAAAGGTCTTATAAATCTCGACTATAAAATAGATTCAGCTCGAAAGACTTATAAATCTTGCTTGAAGGACTTGGAGATTATGTTTGAAGGTCATACAAATCTCAACTCTAAAATAAATTTAGCTTAGAAAACTTATAAATCTTACCCAAAGTTCTTACAAATCAAATTTCAAAAAT